TGTCGAGACGCTTGTTTGAGCCCATAGATGGATTTTCTTAATTTACAAACCATTTGCTTTGGGTCACCAACCTCAAAAGTTTCTGGCTGTACCATATAGATCGTTTCATTAATGTCACCATTCAGAAACACCGTCTTAACATCCATTTGATGGAGCTCTAAATCGATGTATGCCACAAGAGCCATGATTGTCCTAAAAGAGTCCTTCGAAGAAACCGGAGAGAAAGTCTCTTTCTAATCAATCCCCTTTTCTGAGTATAGCCTTTAGCTACAAGACGTGCCTTATACCTCTCCACATTACCATTTGCATACCGTTTGGTTTTAAAAATCCATTTGCAACCTACGGGTTTTGCACCTTCTGGCAATGGGACAAGTTTCCAAACTTTATTGTCTTGCATTGACTTGTACTCATCACGCATCGCATCAATCCATTTATCTGAATAAGGACCCTTCATGGCATGATAAATATTAATTGGATCATCCTCAGTCATGCCATCATTATCCTTACTTTCTTGAAGAAATGTCACATAATCATCCGGAATGGCATTTCTTCGTTCTCTAGTGGATCTACGCAATTGCGTTGGCTCTTGAACTGTATGTTCTTGAGTTTGTTGAGTTTGTTCCATAGGCATAGGTTCTTGTTCTATACGAACGGGTTCCTCATTCGCACTTTGAAACTCTATGGGAGCTGGAATGACTGCTAACTCATGAGGTATTTGATCAATCACACAGTGATTTCTTGATCCTCAAAAGTAAAGTCTAAAACTGTATTTCTCCCCATAAACTCAACATCCTCAAAGAACTTGGCAGTAGCCGTCTCAAAAATAGTTCTTGATGTGGGATCATAAAATTTATACCCCTTGACCGTTCCGAGTAGCCAATAAAATAACTGCTTACTGTACGAGGTGCTAGCTTTGGTTCATTTGGCCTATAGGCCTTCGCCTCAGCTGGACAACCCCACACTCAAAGATAATTTAAGCTAGGCTTGTGCCCAATCCAGAGTTCATAGGGTGTTTTGGCAGTCGCCTTAGTTGGCACTCGATTAAGGATGTAGAAGACTGTTGTCCTTAATGCTTCTCCCCATAATGATGGTGGCAAAGAAGATTGACTAATCATACTTCGAACCATATCCTTCAATATGCGGTTTCGTCTCTCAGCAACACCGTTCATGCTAGGTGAACCGGGCATGGTGTATTGAGGGACGATTCCACACTCCTTAAGGAAGTCAGCAAAAGGACTTGGACGTTGTTCACCCGAGCCATCATTTCTGCCGTAATATTCTCCTCAACGGTCAGATCTGACAGTCTTAATGCGTTTGCTTAGTTGATTTTCAACTTCAGCCTTAAATGCTTTGAACATGTCCAGTGCCTCAGATTTTTCCTTAATAAGGTACAGATGACCATATCGAGAATAATCGTCTATGAATGACACAAAATATTATTGACCGTTCCACGAAGAAGTGGGAAAAGGCCCACAAATGTCTGTATGTATCAATTCTAAGACATCCATAGCTCGATAAGCACCTATCCTTTCAACCTTGGTTTGTTTACCCTTAATGCAATCGAGACAAACGTCAAAGTCTGAAAAATTTATGGAATCAAGGATTCCATCCTTAATGAGTCTTTCAACTCCGTTTCTTAAAATATGACCTAAACGTTTGTACCACAATAAACTAGAGTCATGCAATTTTCGTTTAGTACCTTTTGATTCCATATTAAGTGCCTCATTATAGGAAACCAAAATATCGAGCATATATAAACTGTCATTCACCATAAAAGTACCAAAACCAACCAAACATGAATTAAAAGACAACTCAACTTTATTGTTTCCAAAAGAACAATGATAACCGAATTTGTCCAAATAAGAAACATAAACCAAATTCCGTCTAAATGACGGTATAATAAAAGTGTCTTGCAATTCAAGAAAATGTCCAGTACTCAATAACAACTTGAAAATGCCCACGGCTTCCACCTCTACTGAGTCACCATTTCCAAAGTAAATGCGTCTTTCAGCATCAGTTGGGTTTCGGTAGCTTAGGCAACCCTGCATTAAAATACTGATGTTAGTAGTTGATCCAGAGTCTAACCACCAAGTATTTCGAGGTACTGAAGCTAAATTAACCTCAGAACAAACCAAAGTAAGAAACGTACCATTCTTCACATGCATCGTGAAACTTAGTACAATTCTACTTCTTATGTCCAGGTTTCTTGCAAAAGAAACAAGTCTTTTCAGGATGAGCCCGAGGAGCTGGAGTTGGAACATGAGCCTTAGCAGTCTCAACCTTAACGGCCTTATATTTTCTCTTCTTGCCGCCCGTATCCTTTGAGGTATCCACCACATGTACCTCTTCAGTCTTATTACGCTTCATCATTTCTTCTTCCTCAACACAGTGAGAGATGAGCTCATTAAGAGTCCACTTCTCCTTTTGACACTTATAACTGACTTTAAACTGATCGTATTGAGTAGGAAGTGAGAGCAAAACCAATAGGACTAACATGTCCTCTGAAAGGTCTAACTTAAGTGCGCTCAACTTAGAAGCAGTATTAGACATGTTCAGGATGTATTCCCTTATATTTCCTTTGTCGTTATACCTCATGGTAATGAGACTCTTGAGAAGAGTACTCATTTCCGCCTTATCGCTTTTGGTAAAGCGTTTCTCAATTTCGACAAGGAAATCATTGGCAGTAATGATATCATCAGATATCGTGCCCCTAAAGATTTCTGGAATGCTTTTCTTTATAATCATTAGACTAAGACGATTAAACCTATCCCACTTCTCAAATAACTGCTTTTCATCTGCAGTGCTTTCTTCCGTAAGAGAAGGGGGTTGGTCTATCCTTAATGCCAAATCTAGATCCATACAGCCCAAATGAATCAATATTGATTCTTTTCAGTGCTGATAGTTGTCCCCAGACAGTATTGGGACTGAATAGTTAGAAGATACCATAAGATTCGATCCTGAAGATAATAAGGAATAAATATACACATAAGTACTCAAGTAGCATAATGAAACTCAAAATAAAATAATGCAATCCCATCTCAAGACACTAAATGCAACATTAATGTTTAATCTTTGGATCAATGCCATTAACTGCAAGCAGTCATCTTGTTGCAATAATCATATACGGATAATAAGGTAATGTCAAACAGTAACCAATCTTTGGACTGATTTACTATTCACACAAGTTAAATCTATATAATTGTCCCATACATATTATCGCAGATGCATATTTTATTCTGTCAATTATCGACTGCCTTTGGGCCGAAGAATAATCACATGAATTAAAATATACATGTAAACACTTACGTTATCAAGTAAAAATTTCATATAAGAGAGGTTACTTTGGCAACTTCAAATACTAGATTTTCACCGTCAAAACGTAGCAAACATTATTAATGAGTTTCCAATTCTGAAGGTTGAAATATTTGCAATATAAGCAAAATTAATTTCTGAAGATGCATACATCAATTTCATAAACAATATATTCCAAAATATTCATGATAAATTAATAAACACACAAACATGAATATGCGTGTATTCAATACATAAATTAATCAATAAAATAAATGGATGAATATATAAACTTCCAGGCTATACTTAAATTTTGTATCATGAATCTTTATCTATATATTAGAATATATTTGCCAATAATAATAGATACAAATAAATTAAAAAATAAAATAAAATATATTGGCACGGAGATTAAATCAACCAATTACATATATATATATGTACAGATTTCTAATGAAGATTACTAATATGTACACGGATTCCATTTGAATATAATGAAAGATTTACAATTGCTGATGAATAATTAGCAACCAGAATAATTAGCAGCCAAATATGTACACGGATTCCAAGGCAATAATAAATTTTCCAAGAATAAGAACATTTAATAAAACCCGGATGAATACCGATTAATCCAATAGCACAAAAAATAATTCAACATGCTCTAATACCAATTGTTGAATTTTATATGCCCGATTCTTAAAGCGGAAGCGTACCTGATAAAGCCATATACAAATCTTGGGTGATTAAAGGTTTGGTCTTCCAAGATCAGAGAGCCGGCTTCCTTTCTGTCATTGACGGGTGAGGAGCAGAAACTGCAGGGAGAATCAGATCTCTTTTACGGCGTGCTGATCCTGGGGACCTAACCCTAGCCTATTTATAATAGGGCAAACATAATTGCAATTATAATTATGCCCTTAATTAATATTATTAATTTGTCACGTCACCAAAATAATAATATTATACGGGTAGATGCACTTTCATTCCATAACAATCAAACCTATCAGTCAATAATTAATTATATTAATTAGACTGCTTAAATAATATGTCTAGATAAAATAATGACTTTAACAATATATTCGATACACATATTTGATCCCAAATCCAACATTTCTTTTTCCTCAATCTTCTTCTTTGTCTTTCTTTTTCCTCAATCTTCTTCTTTGTTTATTTTTTTATCTTTTTCCTCTCTTCCTCTTCTTTTGGGTATTCTTCCTTCTCTTTTCTCCAACTCTCCCGATCTACTATCATGTCTTTACTCTTCGGAATTCTCTGAATTCCTTTCCTCCAATCTCTGAATATTATAATGAAACTAACATCAAGACTTGGAGCCGGTCGCAATTTCTTTTAATTCCAACAGATTGTGGAATAGCCTTACCATTCAATTCAACTTCTTTCTTTCGAATCAACTCAAACTCAAAGAACAAAATACAAATCGAAACATCAAACCCAGCAAGAGAAAAGAAAATAAAAATTACCCAGCTGGATTGCCAGATTACGAAGATCTTTTCTTTTGTGAGCGATCTCTTAATCGCTACCAATTATTTATCACTTATTCTGATCATCTCTTACAAGTCCTCTTCCAATAGTACCCATGACTACATGTTCGAGGAGATCGTCTGTCTTCTCCTAAGGGCTTCATGGTTTAAACCTGTAGTCGTCAAACTGGACCAAGAAGGGACGCTGCTGCAGCTGCCGCTGCCTCCTCTTCCATGGATGACACGGAGGACTACTACTATAACCTCTACGAGGATGAAACAGGTAGAAATCTTGGTGACATATACCTCCTTCGTAGATCCCCAGGTCTCCGCACTGGGAATCGGAGGTGGGGCGACAATGGCTATGTCCGAGCAGGACGGCAAGAAGCAAGGCCCATCGTTCGTTCCACCTCTGCTGGCTCGTCCCAACAAAACAAGCAAACCACTTCTAAGGAAGTTGTCGGCCGCCGTGCCAAGAGGGCTCTAAAGCGTGAAGCCATCGACAAGGCAGCAGTGGTGAAGCATCTTGCGAGGTTTTTCCGGAAGTAGGAGTAGGTCTGTCTGTCTCTCTCTTTCTGTCAGGTAAGACTTTCTGAACAAAAGGCAAGGCGCCATTCCTCGTACAGTATTTTCTTTGGTAGATGAAATAAGATGCTTTAGCCCAAAACAAATAATGAGTTGGACTGTATTTGCATTGTGTAAGGTAAATTTCTTTTTTTCTTACATTCAAACTTTCATCTCTAACATGGCCGGATCATTCTCATTTATCTTTGTTGAACTGTTTTTGTTAATAATTTGCGTTTATATAATAGTATTTGTACAATGTGAATTTAGAAAATGTTTAGTATGACTTTTAGTTTGTAATCCAAAGTTGTATTGGCCAATATTATATGGAAAATAAATTGAATCATTTCATAAAGGACACTATAAAATTCGCAAACCACAAATTATTTACAACAATAATTCAACAAACACAAAAATAAGAAATATGGCTAAAAGAATGAACCCCAAATGTTAGAGATATAATTTGTATGTAAAAGAAAATCTACAGTGCACAATGCAAATACAAGCTAATTATCAGTCCAACCCAGTATCTGTTTTGGTCTAAAGCAATCTACCAAAGAAAATACATCTTACCTTACAGAAAAAGAAAGAGAGACAGACAGACAGACAGACAGACACACCTACTACTTCTTCCAGCCGAACCTCGCAAGACTGCCATTTCCTTGTCGGAGGCTTCACTCTTTGGAACCCTCTTGCCACGGCGGCCGACAACTTCCTTAGAAGTGGTCTGCTTGTTCTATTGGGACAAGCCAGCAGAGGTGGAACGAACGACAGGTCTTGCTTCTTGCTGTCCTGCTCGGCCATAGCTCTTGTCGCCCCCCATCTCCGATTCCCAATGCGGAGACCTGAGGATCTACGAAGGAGGTATATGTTACCAAGATTTCTGTCCGCTTCATCCTCGTAGAGGTCATAGTAATAGTCCTCCATGTCATCCATGGCAGAGGAGGTGGCGGCAGCTGCAGCTATGGTCTCTTCTTGCTCCAGCTCGACTACAGTTTGATGTGAAATCAACATTTTTAAATGGCGATTTAAAGGAGGTCTATGTTACTCAACCTGAATGATTTATAATTGAAGATAATGAGGAGAGCTGCACAAAGCCTTGTATAGGTTAAAACAAGCTCCGTGTGCATCGTATGGACAGATAGATTCCTATCTTTGTGAAATTGGATTTGAGCAAAACAAGAATGAACCCACATTATACGTGAAGAAGCAAGGTAAAAATAATTTTCTCATTCTTTAACTTTATGTTGATGATATGATTTATATGTGTTCATGTCCTTTTCTCAATGATAGACTTAGGCAAGTTGCAATAGTTTTTAGGGTTGGAAGTGAAGCAAGGTGACATGGAATTTTTGTGTCTCAACAAAAGTACGTTGTTGATTTGTTGAAAATGTTTAATATGTTGAATTGTAAAGTTGCAGCAAAAGTTTCACCACCAAGCATGAAAAATTTTAAGATGTTAAAATTCATTTGTTCTGATCTAAGTATTACTATTACCGCTGCTACTATTATTATTATTACTATTATATTGTTTATCCTTATTCAAAGTATTATTATTCAACCAATTATTATTATTGTGAGAGAAAATAATATACTTTTACTATAAATTATGTAGGGTGAATAATGTTGTTTTCAGTTCGAAATCACAATCAAACACACCCATATATTTATGACAACATTCATAGAAAATTAAGATTTTTTTATATTACATATATATATATGTATATTCATTTACTCTATATTTAAATCAAATAAAAATATAAGTAATATGTATATAAAATCATAATACAATAAATCGAATTAAGAATATTTTGGGTGAGAAAAAATATTCACATCATATAATCAAACAAAGTAAATATAATATAATTTTATCTAATATTTAATCACGCAAGTAAACGTTATATTAATCTATTGAGAAATCGTTTAAAGTAAACACATCCTATAAGTATTATTTATATAAAAATATATTAAATCAATATATAATTTAGTATAAAGATAACCATACATAGTACGGAATCTCTGCTAATATTAAAATATATTTACATTAGTGCTAACAAAAATAGGCATGATTCAAAAAATCGATATGAAACTAGCACGAAAAAACTGCATATGGGGCTAATAAAATAGGTCCAAATAAATCAGACCATACTTAGTCTAGCATGAGTTTAAATTGGTTCGGGCTCGGGCCATTATAATCAAGTTGTGTTTGACCTGGCCCAATTTTTAAATTGAATTTAATATTATAATTCTATAAATGTATTAAAAATAAAGATATACTTCCTCCGTCCTTCGAAATTAGTCTATTTTTCTTTTTTTAGCCGTCCCACGAAATTAGTCAACTTTTTATTATAGTCATAATTAATAACTAATACTTCTAATTAAAAAAACTTAACTATATTTTATTAACTTACTAATATGTTTAGTTTTATTATTTGTTAATTGTAAATTTAGAAGTTTGGCTAAAATTTTGAATAATAAAAATAATAAATATTTAATATTATATAAATAAATACTCATTTAATTTTAAAATTAAATTTTAATTTAATATATAATAAAAATTTGATGTTTGATTTGGAAATTTATGGTTGAAAAATTAATTAAAAATGAGATTTGATATTGATTTTTTTTTCTTTGTTAAAAAAAAAAATAGAACTTATTTATAAAGCAAAATTATAAACTTATTTTTAATTTCGGTATTTGACGTAGAATATTATATTCTAATACCGTGTATACAATTTAGTTAGACACTACAAAAAAAAATAGTATATTTGTAACAGAATTCTGTCACTAAAGATCACGTAGCTAACGTAATTCCATCATTAATTCCGTCTCTAATATCATTAGTAACGGAAAAAGTGAATTTAATGACGAAAAAATCTCGTTACAAAAATGATATTTTCTTGTAGTGAGAGATGGTTTGAGATAGTATATTAAAAATATCGAAATATATTGTATACCGTACCAAAATTTTTAATTTATTAAAAAAAGATATCGATATTGTATCAAATAATCAATATATACAAATATACCAATTTTTTTTAATTATCTATATACACTGGAAATATCTTATTGTATACGTTATCACACAAAAAAAGTCATATTGTATCGAAATTTTAAAATTTTTTCGGTATTTTTTTTACGAGTATGCATATTATTTCCGTATACAGTATTTTTTATTTGCAAATTCGGTATACCAAAAATATTTGTACGGTACGGTAAAATATATATCATACCAAAAATATAATATTTAAAACATACTATTATCATAATAAATATATATTATTGTCTTCTTTCATTTTCATTTATCGAATACACTATATTATCAGTAAATTTAAATAGATATACATATTTTTTCTTTGTTAAACTCTTAGTTATATTTATTTACTTTTTAATTTTTTTAATTTTATTTTTTCCCAAAAATTGTAAATACAGTTTTTGATTTTATCTATATATTTATTTTTATATAAAAATAATATAAATAAGAATAATAATAATAATAACTAATAATAAATATAAAAATAAATTGATATATTGAAGGATAATATATTAAAAATTAAAAATATTAATATAAAAAATAATAGTATTATATATTTTTACATCATTAATAATTATATATTATTTATTAATATTAACTTTATTTTATAAAAATATAAGTTAAAATTATCCATTACTTTCTTGTGGTTTCTTAAAAGATTGCATGGCGTCTACTTATAAATATTGCATGAAACCCCTCTATAATTTCAAAACTCAGCGTACGTCCTCACTTTATTTTAAAAATTGCATAATCTCTCCTTATACTTTCAAAAATGTCGCATGAACCCTCCCGCCATGAAAAAAATATAGATAGAAAATCATCTTCTCATCACAGAAGGGAAGTTCCACGGTGGTAGTGTTTCATACAACATTTTTTAAAGTATAAGGGGATGTCATGCAATTTTTAAAGTATAGGGATATTTTACTACTAAATTTCAAAATCAATATAAGCAATTTACCAAAGTATCATACTCCATCCATCCGCCTCTAAGGGTCATATTAAAAATATCCTTTTATTTGTATAATTTTTCGTAAAAATATCATTCTATTAGTATTATAAGACACTCGTGGAAGTATTTTTGCAATCTTTTCTTAATTTGTACTACGTTTTAATATAATAATTAATATTTAAAGATCAACACGCAAAAACTAGGCTGATGGAGGTAGTAATATATAATTTTTATAGAACTTGTGTTTACATAAATTTTTATAATTATATAAATTAATAAAATGAATTATTTTAATCCTACCAAATCCATATAAATCCATACAAAAATTCCATCAAATCTGTACAAATGCATCTAAATCAATTAATAAAATCCATCAAAGTCTGCCGTGACTCTGTGCATTTTCGAAATCCACAAACTTATTAAAATCTATAAATTTTTTAAAAGCCAAAGCAATCCAATGAAATCCCAAATGAATATACACGCCCTTAATTTCTGTTTATTTTTTATTTTTTTATTATTATTTAATTTTATATTATTCAAATCTCATAAAACATCATATCTAAATTATTATTAAAATAAATTATCAAACTAAAAATATAACTAGAAAATACAATAATATTTTTTTTATCTAATTTATTAATTTTTAATGATGGATATATTTTTTTTTTTCAACTAGCAATATAATTTCATTCTCTATTATTATTTCTCTGCGATTATATTCTTTGTATCAAACGTTACCCCTAGTTTGTTGTTTCTCGTTCTCTTTTCTTCTTCTTCGTCTTGTTCTTGTTCTTCGATCTTCCTTTTGTTTTTTCTTTCTTTTCATATCTCTCTTTATTCTCATCTTCCTCTTCGGGTGCATCTTCATCTTCATTTTTCAACTTTCGGATTCATCTTCTTTGGATTTATATCCATTCTCTTTTAGGTATTATTCTTTCTCTGTTTTTGCCTCCTTAATCCTCTCTTATCCAACTCTTCCAATCTATTATCATGTTTTAATCT